ACAAGCGGGAGAAGCTTGTGAACTTGGGATCCGGCTGGCACCTTTGCGCCTCCCCTACTCGCGGGGAAACCCGGTTTCGGGGATCCGGAGCGACGTGGGGTGAGTGGCGCGGTGCTTCGAATCGACTGCTTTTTTCGTGGAGTGAAGCCGCATTGCTGTTGCCGGAGAGCGCTGACTTTTTCCTGTGGACAATTGGACTTTAAACAACTACCCGTGAGTAGAACGCAAAATTGGATCTTCAAATAATTTAATTTTGCACCGAAACGGGGAAGGTTTTAAACAGGAAGTCCGCCTTTCCCTTTTTTGTAAATAGATTGAAGCAAAGACGTTATAAGCTAAAGTCTTTGGAAGCTTTTGGCAAAGGATTGAATTTTCATCGGTTAAAGTTACAAAAGCCCCCCTGGAAGCAGGAGAAGGGGGGGGGATTTTGGACTTAGCGAGCCTGCAGGAGGGAGTGAAAAATCAAATTATCACTGCTCCGAACCTGGAAAAGGGCTGCCAGAAAAAGGGAAATTTTGGGAGAGTTCATTGACTGTGAACAGAACATTTTTGACAACTAGTTATATAAGAGAAAGATACTGTTTCCATTGTCCTCTTCTGCGTTTAAAAAGAGGAAAAGTAACTGGAAAATGAAACTATTTTTATGGTCTGAATTGTGCTTGAAAGGATTGATACAAGTGGAGACTGTTTCCCTCTAGAAGGAGTTTTTGAAACTGTCACAGGACTGCACCAGCTGTATGATAAGTAAGTGTGAGAACTAGAGTTTGACCTTGGACCACTCAAAATGTTGATAGGAGAAACCATTGTGATGGTATTATGTAAGATAAGCTATTCGCTGGAACAGCTCCATAAGAAGATAGATGACACTTCTTTTAAAATTGACAATTTGGACCAAAATGTAACTAATTGGAGTCAAAAAGTTTGGCTGGACAGATTGCGGAGGAGAAAGAGAAAGCTGTGGTGGCTGAGCCTAAAGTAATACAAGTGGGATTTTCAGCCACACAGAAGCAAATTGAGGACTACAAGTTGAGGCCTTTTACGATTGAATCTAGAAAAAGTCAGATTTTGAAGATTGGATCCCGGCTTGGACGGAAGAAGGAAAGTTGGAAAGATCCTTCTATGCAGGGATTAACTGACTTTTGGGACATGGACTTGGGTCTGGAGGAGACTGGAGTTTTGGGGGCCTTGGGACTTGGAGGAATATCGAAACATGTCATGAAACATCTTATAGACCTCAGCTTTAACTATGGAAATTTGGCTGACTTGTCCGGAGGGAATAAAAGTATTGCTAGGTTGGAGTTTTCTCGAGATTTGCTTTTAGGCACTAAAGAATATGAAGAAGACCTGCAGAAGGGACCTGGAAAAGACTTAGGAGCCTCGGACATAAGATCTCCAGGTTGATGGACTATATGGATTTGACGAAAAGGACTGGCAGAATCCGAAACCAGGGAGAGGAGATGGTGGATGAAGATTAGAGATTTTAAAGTTTATATATAGAAATATTGCAAAATTAATGAATGATAGAAAAATGGTGGAAAGAAATTTTATGGCTTTAGTAGAAATGTTATAAGGAGTTAAGGATATATGAGTATTTAGTTTTTAATGATAAAAATATGTTAAGATATTTATAATAAGACAGAAAATAGAGAAAGATGGAAAGGGTTTGCTGAAACAATTAATAGAAGTGGAATACAAAAAGGGAGGTGAGAGGAAGTAGAGGAAACAAGGGAATGAAAAATAGAGTATGGAAAGGGTGTGATTTATGTTTTTAAATGATTATTGTTTTGTTTTGTTTAGGGTTAGGGTTTTGTGTAGTTTAGTTTAATGTGATTAGGTGGTGTTTTGTATTGTTATATATTGTATTGTATTGTTCTTTTTTCCCCTTTCTTTGTTCTTTCTCTTTTGTTTCTTTTCTTTTTCTTTTCTGTAATTTCTAAAAGTAATAAATATTATTTAAAAAAATAAATAATAAAGTTGTTGTTAAAACCACAACAACCAGTAGTTTGGAAAGGTATATTGGATTTGGTTTCCTGCTCTTCCTTCCTTACCAAGCCGCTGATTGTAGTGTCCTTTTTTCTTTAGGGTCTGTGTTGTCACAGCCTGGGGTGTTCCATTTCCTCTGTGTGAGAGTGGCACCAGTGTGTTTAGCACACCACACAAGTGACACACCTGCTATGGGATTTGATTTCACTTCAGAGGAACATGCTTCATTGAAACACACATTAAAGGAACCCCATAGATAGACGTCTGTACATGAACCCTGAATCAGCATGGAAGTGACCCCAAAAGCAGTAGGGTGTGTCATTAGGGGGGTATTAGATGTGTTTTTCTGTACATCAGAGCAGTTTATAATATTAATGTACATTACGATTCTCGTTGTAAAGTGGTTTTCTGGTATCCCTCTGATAAAAGCTGATGCACTGCCAATGGATCTAGTGGGGGTGTTTCATTCAGTGGGATAATTGCTTCAATCAATAAAATGTTCAGCATAGAGGGAAACTTAATCTTAGACTAAACAGAACACCAAAAATAATCCTGAGCGGCAGGAAACAATTGATCCTGCCTAGCAAGGAACTGTCTCTTCTCATTATAAATCTTAGGGCATTACATTTTAACTGATTTATTTTATTTTAAATATGAAAAGCTCTTCCTGGGCTTTAAGGCTCCCAAAGCCCTAAAAGAAGCATTCCTGTGTAGCAGGAATATCAGTGTGAAAGTAATTAAGTTTGCTGAGACTGTTTCCACAAAAAACATATTGTGGAGATAACAGCCCCCTTTTCATGAGCTGGCCAAAAGACAACAAGCTGTCACAATTTTTAGTACAAATTGGCAGAAGTGCTGTAATATTATTATCATGCAGCAACCTCTGATTATTGTATGTAAGCTATTTGAGGCCATCGCTTCAATACCTTTTTCTTACAGATTGTAGTTGTTTGTCAGGTTTGACCTTTTTACTTCTGGCCCTGCAAATTTATCAACTTTGACATTTCAAGTGGCACAGGAAATAAGTATGCCAGAGCCTAACAGGTTCCTTTCGTGTGTCATTCAGGTAGGGGACTTGAATTAATACACAGATTATTTAGATTGTGGATCTTTGGATGGGCAAGGAGCCTATCTTGAACCCATGGAATAAGACTACATTATCAATAAATATTTATATAATTCTGAAACTTAACAAAATCCCAGCTTTCAAAAAATATATGTCCAGAGGCAATCACAAAAATTATAGACAAATAATGTTCAATAATGGACAAAATGTTGAAATTGTGTTTAAGAGTTTTAAACTAGGAAAGTCAGAATCTGCCTCAGACTGACAGTCTATGCCCCTGTTACTAGGGTCAACTAAGTTTTTTTCGTGCCTCTGGTAAATGACTGTACCTGTTTTGCTTGGAGTAGGAATGACTTTTTAATCTTTTGTTAGTGTGGCTTGCTAGAGTTTAATTTCTCCAACATTCAGCTCTCTCCTCAGGGTTTATTGACATTGCATCTGAGTGGGTAGGTAAATGCTACAGTTACTTGTTCAGTCGGCATTTTTCAGTCCAACAACCTAAATGCAGTCATCTTTTAGTGATGTATTTTAGGGTTACATTTGCAAAAAATACATATTTTGGGAGAAAACATATTCCAATTTAATTTACATTTTCATGTGGTTTTTAAAAATTACCAATTGATATGAGCATGCATGTTAAGGTATCATGTAAGGCACATCTGTCATTTCACACATTATAGTTGCTGATCCTTCCAGGATGCCAGAACAAACCTGCTCCTATTTTTACATGTGAAATGATGGATAATACATCACCAGTTCCTTCTCCTTTTCCTGCAGGGCACATCTCTTTGGATATAGGTATGCGACCACCTATATATAGCCAAACAGGACTACTAATGAGCAAGAGGGAGGTAGCTCACACAGACAAATCAGAAGAGTTGTACAAAGTACACAGACACACACCAAACAAATAAACAACCTTGAGGGGGGAAACCCAAGGGCAGAAGCCCCAAAACAGACTGAGCATGCTAAGTGGACATAGAGTGCTGACTGTTGGAGAGTGATAGAATGGATTATTTTGAAAGATGTGGCAGATGGGCTGAAACACTGAACAGGAACAGTCCATGCTGCAATATTCTGTTGCAGACCCCACTTGTGACTCCTAAAAAGCAATGCAGCCTATCCCTGCTAGGCTCCTACTTCCTTGCTAACATAAGAATCCGCACTCCCCAATCTACTTTGGAACAATCCTAAAACAGTTTACACTGCTGGCTCACAGCCACCGTGGTTGCTTCTAAGCCGTGGGGATTCGAACCATGCCCAGGCCAAACCCTAAGCCCTGCCTTGCACAGGCTGTTCAGGGTTCAAGAAATAGTTCCCCGTACGTGTTCCTTTTCTTTGTTTTCATAGGCCAAGAGTTTTTGTAAAAAGCAGGGATAATGCTGCCTGACATGTGGCAGATTAAAAGCATAACAAATCTAGTCTTATGAGGATGACAAAAGAAGGTTTGTAATGAGAGCCATACACACACACACACACACACACACACATATATATATATATATATATATATATATATACGCACGCACACACCAGCCCTTTCTTTATTCCAGACATTGCTGTTTCCTCATAATATCTACAAAAAAGGCAACATCTACATTAGTAAGTTCCACATCCCAGTGTATCTTAGGCGCACTAACTTAGAGCCTCCCAAGGCAATTACTTGTCTATATGTCACAAATGATATCCCCAAGTAGTTTGACATTTCATCTATTGAAATGACTATAGTATGCGTGTCTCTAAGCAAGATAAAAGCCTTTCATCTTACTAATGCAACAGCAGTATGTCATTTTGGCAAATCTGATATGTCCCATTGTGAAAAGAGCTAAGCTTTCTCCAGCATGGCTTATAATTCCAGGAAAGGCTCCATGTATAAAGGAATGAACTGAACAACGTAAATAGGGCTACAGAAACCAAATGTGGGGCTCTCTCTTCTCTTTACATGAAAGTCATGGAGAAAAAACCCAAGAAGAAGGAGGAGGAGGAGGAGGAGGAGGAGGAGGAGGAGGAGGAGAAGAAGAAGAAGAAGAAGAAGAAGAAGAAGAGGAAGAAGAAGAAGGGATTTGAGTCAAAATCTAGGCACTCTCTTTCTGATCAAGAAATGTGAGATTATTTGCTACAGGAGTAATTTAAGGAGACATTACCATTCTGTCTTTGTACCAGCTCCACTGGATCTTAACAAAATAAGGTTATGGCCTTACAAAATGCATGAACCATGTCAGATTTCTTAGGTCACATCCGCACCATGGATGCTATTCAACTAAGTAGTTGCACTAGCACAATGGGGTCTCCTACCTGCCATGCACACGTGAGCCATCCCCAAATCTGCTCTGGAGGGTTGAGGCAACTCCCACTGTAGGAACTGAAATTTGAGAGTAAATTCAAATATATGACTGTTGACTGGTAACACTAATGTTTCAATAATAATGATGATAATAATAATAATAATGTGTGCCAACATGACGATTGTTGATTCATAATAATTCAACATGATAATTCAACCAGGTAGGTTTGTATTGCTACAGCAATGTTTAAAATAGTTTCATATATTCATTGGCAGGTTTTATGGAACTGGAAGGTTGTCAGAAAGACTTTAAGAAGAAGAACGTTTGATGTCAATTAAATGGAAGCTTCTTCAGAAAATGCAGGAGGGCATAAAGGAGGATATAATGCAAAGAAAGCAATATGAGGCGGTCAAGTACAATGTTGATAATGCTTGGAGAAAAGGAAGAGACGATGGAAAGAATGGTCTCAGTAGGGAGACTGCGAGGAAGTGAAACTCATATGGACAGGACAGGCAGGAAGTGAGTGTTGCCCTATCACAGCAGATGAATGTGAGGATATTGCTTGAATATTTTATAACAATTGGGAAGTATATTTTGACAGAAGAAAGTGGTAACAGCAAGCAAGATGAAGAATTGCTTCTTTACTGCAATGACATCCCCAAAGGATTGATGGATTGATGCCCCTTCCAGTACGGGTTTTTCTTTTTTCCCCTCCTTTTTTCTTTTTTAAATAATTTTTATTAAGTTTTCCATTTAACAATCCAATCATATCACATTAATTAATCCAAATTATACCAATACATATCATAAAATCCAAATATTTTGCTGAATTTTATAAATTTTTGTTGGGAGTACCCATGCTTTGAGCTCCGTAAGGGTCCAATCATCTCATATTTCTGCTGCTTTGATGTTCACCAGTCCCACCTTCCAATCTTCTTGTTGTTATCGTTTTTCTTCTTAATAACCTCTGAGTTGTTTCCACAAGTGAGTTGAAGCAAACATTATTATGTTCCTGTGTGGATTTTCACACTGATCCAAAAGTCCTATTCAGGCGGCAGGTGCCATTTCGACAGTTCCGATGAAATAAAGTCTAAGTGTCTGTTCATTAATTTTCCCAGACCAGTTGCTCCATAAATCAGCCTTTCCAGGGGAGTTCTTGCCAGATAAGAGAACAGTGGCTTGCCTCCCCCTTTGACTGTAAATCTCGCAACAAAGTCTGTCTCATAATGGCGGATCCCGATTAGAACTGTGTCACCCAAAAGCCTTTCGTTTCCTTTCCAGATCTTCCGCAAAACAAAGCCCTTAGTTAATATTTTTATTTCCACACAGTGGTTGTTCTAGGGGAGGGGTTGTTAGGTAAATCATATTGAAAAAGAGAAAAGTCCCCCCCCCTTTCCGTTCCATTTCAACATACCAACATAGCTGTGATTCTTTGATGTAGTCTTCTGTTCAATCCAACCCGTCACTCTTGGCTCTCAGTGGTTGATTTAATTAGCAATCAGTACACCCTTTCCTTCACTCGAAATATGTGCATTTACTTTTCTCCAATTATTTATCTTAAGCAATGCAACTAGGATCGCACTCAGAAGTAGCGTCCGGGAGATCCAGAAACTTACTTGAGGGCTTTCCGTCCAGTGTCCCCACCCCCTCCTTCTTTCGAACTCGGGGGTGATTTATTGGCAACTGTGGACGAGGCAGCATCTTCCCATCCCCTGGGAAAATCCGGGAGGCTAATTTACTCCCATCATCAGCCTCTTAATTACCTCGCATGAGCCAGAGAGATGGTATTGTCAGCCATCTTCCAAGGCGTCCCTAGTGCCCCCCCCCAGTACGGGTTTTTCATATAGGAAGCTGCCTTGTACTGAGTGACGCTGTATGGACCATCAAAGTCATGTCGTCTGCACTGACTGGCAGTGCCTTTCCAGGATTTCAGACCAAGACCTCTCCCAGTCCAACCCGGAGAAGCCAGAAACTGAACCTGGGATCTTCTGCATGCAAAGGGAATGTTCTTCCACTTAGCTATGTCCCTTCACCAGGGTGATCAATGCAGGTTCAGCAACAGGTCAGACTGAAATGTGTCTACAGTCGTACCTTGGTTGTCAAACTGAATCTGTTCTGGAAGTCTGTTCAACTTCTGAAAACGTTTGACAACCAAGGAACAGCTTCCAATTGACTGCAGGAGCCTCACTTCTGGGTTTGCAGTGTTCTGGAGCCAAAACTTTTGAGTCATAAGCTGTTTGAGATCCAAGGTACAGCTGTATACTGTGTATATATATATATATATATATTCAACCAAGACCACCACTTTCTGAAGCTTTTTGCTCCGAAAAAGGGGGATGTGATAACAATCAAAGGCTATGAAGGTTGGAGGCAGGGGTGCCAACTTGAATAAAATATTGGGGGGCAAGCCCTACTCCACATAACTGATCGCATGACATGGCACATGGACATCATTTGAATGGTAATGCCCATCAACTTTTGGGGGGTCCAGACCTTTACCCTTCAAATATTTTATGGGGGGGGGGTGAAGTGACCTTGGCCCCTAGGAGTTGGCTCCTATGGATGGAGGATAGGATGCACAGTATTTTGTTGGCAGGCAATAAACTAGAGAGGGGCAGCCCTCAAATGTCCATCTGAGGACTCCATTTCCGTGAAATGTTGTTCCCACTCTTATGTGGGGGCAAATTTGCCACACCCTGCTACCCCAGAACATTACTCAAGTGGTTTCTTCCTGGATAGGAGTGTTGGGGTGGCATGAATGGTCAATTGTCCAATCCAGATATTCCTGCTCCTCCCAAAAAACCTACCTCTTTTCTGTTGCCTGCCTGCCTGCCTGCCTCCCTTTTATAGTGTGGGTCTTGCCAGCTGCCTGTTGAAGAGGCTGAGTAGGAATTCCTGAAGGAGCCCCCAAGTGGCATGGGACTCCTCTTTTTCATTTACTCCACACTGCTGGGAGTAATTTTTGAAATGATGTAATTTCTTGTAAATCTGATCTTTACGTAGTCTGGGAAGGAAAGTCAGTTTAAGATCTGGGGACCTTTAATTCTGATGCATTAGGTGATAGGGGCACTCTCGCATTGCCCTACATTGCATCTGCAGTGTGACGGGGTGCCCTGTGGGACAGGAATGCACATTGGAGTGAACACTGAACTGGTGGGGCAATGGTCTGATTCACAGACCCAAGGCTTGAGTAGCAAGGAGGAAGAACTTCTTCTACAGGGCACAGGTAGTGGCTTTTATTGCCTCAGGAACTAGAAGGAAAATGATCCCCCCCCCCAAGTAGGGAACTTTCTTGCTCAGATTATGTTTTATTTGGTTGAATTGGGTCAAGTTAGGTTATTTTTTCCCCCAGCAGATCCTCAAGTTTTCCTTAATTCCTTAATTAATAATAAATATAACCGTTCCCCCAACTTAAAGCAGTGGCTTGAGTCTTCCTAGGGGTGGGTGTGATGGCAATGGGTCATTCTACCCTCACTGCCATGTTTTGCTCAACCCACAGCACTCTCAACAGCAGCCCCTACTTCTTCCCAGTGTTCCAAGACACTTCTCAATCCATCCCTCAGCCATCACACTGATTTCTGGGTTTCCAAAACAGAGATAGCAGACCCAACAATAGGAGAAGAGAGTACCTACAAGAATGTGTGTGAGTACCTACAAGAGATATGTTCTTAAAAAGCTGAGCAAAAAACACTCTTTCCAGAATTTCATACAGGACTATCAGGTATCTCATTAGTATATATGTCTGGCTCCCTAAACAATACATAGGGTTCATTAAAGAACTGGTCAACGAGAGAGAGAATGGCCTCACCAAATATCCTATGAAACAGAGGAAACCACCGGACACTGAGTTAGTCCATTGGTCTACCTAGCTCAGTATTATTTACACCAATTCACACAAATTCTGCATTGTTTCAGATGGCAGCCTTTCCTAGGACTACCTGCAGATGCTAGGAATGGAAAGTGGGATCTTCTGTATGTAACACATGTGCTTTACCATGGATGTGGACCACTGGACAAGCTGGGAGAAACTGCCCACATGATCAGCCTCACCCATGTGGTTGCTCTGTTCATATGGCAACTCTCTTGCCGATGCCAGTGTGAATTAACGAAGACAGAGAAATGTGTAGAAAATGTTTCTTTTCTTAGAGAAAAGGATGAAGAAGAATGCTGTCCCTGGCTTTTGGGGGCTGTCAACTTATGTATTCTCCAATGCATAAAACAAAACAAAGCTTTGTTCAACATTTTACAATTCCTTGAGGAAATACAACGGGGTCTGTGAAGGCATTTTTACTTCCTAATTCTCCTGAAGTATGATGCTTTTGCTTTTTGTTGTTGCCTTTTTTGGCTTTTTGGGTTGTATGAAATTTTGAGCAATCCCTTTTTATAATTGCTAGATAAATATATTCATAAGATTGCATACCAGTCTGCATAGATGTCAGAGAAAAATCACTCTCTTTACAATATGCTCACGAGATCCATTAGGGACAGTTATAGACCTATAGCAATGAGCTCTGAATTGGCTGTTGGCTCATGCATCAAATACACAAAATGCTTTCAGATGAACTTAAATGGTCATGGTCCCAACCCCGCTTTTTACCCATGTGAGCCATACCCTTAATTCCCACGAGTTTCAAAATAGGATAGGATCTCTGCCAGTTAATTAGTCAAAGAGGAATTTTGCACCCAAGTTGTCAAAATAACATGGTTCCTCAATCTAATATGATGCACCAATATTTTAAAATTAGCATCTACATTTCACGTGACATTGCAATTAATATCTATTATTCTGCTCAATTTATCAGCTTCACACCAGCTAGTAATG